CTGATAGCTAGAAAAAGAGTGAGCTCAAATCAATTTTGGTTTCGATTGTATTTTTCACCCCCTCCAACTTAAAAGCTGCTTTTCACCTGGACTTGTGAGAAGAGTGAAGGGACGGACATTTCGAGCAGGACAATGAATCTCCAGAGCCTTCTGCATTAAGCTTTCCTTGTGGCCACAAGCTTCCCTTCGTAACTCGTCTCAGGCTGGCCCCTACCCCAAGAGTTCTGTTTCTCCTCGCAGTGGAACATCTCCGCACCCCTTCTTTCAGACCAGGAGGCTGCGGTGGAACAGACGGGCACATCACAGGGAAGTTGTGCAGCAGCAATGCAAATGCGCGTGAAAGGATGCGAAGGGATATGAGTCCAATGTCAAATGATACAGGAAATCCCATTGGTGGAATGTTTGTGAGGGGAAAAAAAGGTAGGGTCTAGCAAGAAAGAGCAGAAATTAAACTGTGTAAAATGTCACCAAATGATGTGAAAAAATCCACACATCTTCAAGTATGCTGCACAATATGGACTTAGAACACATTTTTTTTTTCCCCTGGTGAGGTGAGAATGGTTAGTGCAGTGGTTGTATTTCTGTTCTTAAAAAATGTGTGTGTATGTGTTTGTGTGTCAAGTAAACTTGTCAGCTTCAATGGTGCCAGAGGAAAGTGAAGCTTTTCAGGCCAGTGCTTTATATTTTCCAGATTTCTTGGCTTTTGAGATTTTTTCATACATTGGTCAGAAAGCCTGTGCTTTGTAAGAGTTATCCAATATGCAAATCACGCATTTGACAGCGTGGGGAAGGAGAGTAGAAGATACTGCTGAGTGTCATAGAGGCCTGGAGCCTTCCAGATCTGAGGCAGGGCTTCCGAATTTGCTGTCAGGTTGGTTGACTCAGTTGGCCAATCTCACTGTCTTTGCTACTGCTGCTGTTGATTTAGAGCAAAGACGCATCTCTTGGGCACTGAGACTTTATGAGAGATAGACAAAGGGCTGTCTGATGATTCTTCTTTTATGTGGTGCTAGGAGTCAATACACAAACCAGAGATTTGTTTGCATGTACAATATTACATCTGACTTGCTGATAGGAAACCCGGCAGTGGAGACTGTCCATGGTTTATGTTGTTTAAGCTCCAGGTGTTTGTCTTGCTCAGAAAGTGTGTGCCGAGCACCAGGTATGGGCTTGGTGCTGTTACTTCCCTTCTCTGTTTTCTTTGCACTTTCCTAGTTGCAGGCATGTTCTATAGAATCCAACTGATTGTGTGAGAATTTTGTGGATCCTGCATGCCTCACTTCACAATCAGTCGGCTAAGTCTATAAGGGGTGCATGTGTGTGTCTGTATTATGTGTTATGTGTGTATGAATCTTTGTGTCAGGTCTCTCACCAAGACAGCTAGACATTTCATTTTGACAACACTTCTACAGAAAATTGCCATCTTTTTGTGCAAGATGGTCACTGTATTCTCATCATTTGAATGATTCAGGATCACTCTCTGGCAGCACGAGACACAGCGTGTCTTGATGCCTGCCTCTTTTTCAATTATATTTAAGAGGAAGACTGCTGGGGACCCATTTTTTCATCTTGCACAAGACGCCTAAAGAGCCAGGTTTAATTTCAGTACAATATTAGGCAGTATGATATGATGGATGAAAACAGGACACTGACAAATAGGATCCCTCACAGGATAATATGATGCAACATGAGGTTGAAACTACACTAACAGGTACTTTTCAAAATGTGGGAAAAGAATCTCCCATTCTGCTTTTCCCATAATGCAATCAAATGGTCAGTGCAGTGTCTGTGAAACATGTTGGCAACAAACATGTGCCATGAACACTGGATTATAATAGCAAAACACGAATGAGATGTAAGCCCTTATTCACAAAATGATATTCTTTATTTATTAAAGGAAATTACCTAGCATTTCTGTTGGTCTTTCATGAAAAGTAGCACAAAATAAGCAACTCTCCTTAGTTGTCTTAACCAAACAACCAGGTACCCAGATGTGGAGTATGCAGATTTGGGGTGTTCACAAACATTCATTTCTTCAGTTCCTTCCTTATCTGAGAGCTTATTAGATAGATAGGAACCTTTAGAATCGTAGTAGTGAATTCAAGTGTAGCCATGAGGTCAAACAATTTCGCACTGTCTTCCTCTCAGTTTCTTCCAGTACAAAACAAGGGGAATAACTGTACCTTTGTCCCTACAGTTACAAAGATAAATAAAACAGTATTGTATTAATAGAAAGCATAGCTCTTGGTACATCACAGGCATCTTGTAGGTATTAACAACCAAAATCAGAAATTTCAGGTTTGATTTTTCATGGTGATCCTCTGTGTAGCCAGAGAAGTAAAACTGGTATAAAATAATGCAAAGAGAAGTCAACTCTGGGTATTTTGTAATGCATTTACAATGGGCAGCATTTACAATGGGAAGCATGTGATAACACATAACTTATCTAACCTGAGAGTTAAGTTGGCTAAAATATCTTATAATGATTAGAGTCAAATGCCAAATCATTGCCAGAATACCAGATCTAACCTTGATCTCCACTCACTAAGTAAGCAAGAAATGAAAGGTTTGCATTACACCAAAGCGTGATTTACATTTTGTAGTCCTAATTCAGAAGTAGTGGGTACAAGTCTCCAAGAAGTCTAGAAGGATGATGCTCCATTACATTCACTTCTCTGCTCTGTTGCATTTGGGCTTGCTTCAATGGTCTTAAGACAACACTCTGATGCCTGGCAATGGTGTTTTTAATTTTTCATTACTTCCACTTTCACTCCATGTTGTTGCTATGATGATACTTGCAGCTCTTGAAGTGTCTTCTTTGGCAAAACAAACAAACAAACACCCTGCAAGACTTCAAAATTGATTAGAGATAAGGTAACACATCTTGGTATGACATTCAAAGCCTTGGAGTCCAGTACCATCCTTCCTTCTTATTGTCTTCAGAACACAAAGTTATTGTTAGTCAATAAGCTAGAGATCTATTAGCATGTACATCCTGTGAGGATAAGTTACAATTTCATGGTGTATTACCAATCTTAATTTCTTTCATATGATTCCATTAGACCATCCTGAGAGGCAAGATAAAACATTCTATGTGATAGACCAGACAGTCAAGAGCCACATGGCATGAGTATTTTAAGCAGTGAGTTCTAAATAATTTGTTCGTATTCTGCTTGTTTCCTGTTTATCTGGCCCATACACTTAACTCTACAGTTTGCTCTGTGCACAACCATTTCCAGTGGTGAAGGCTCTATAACATAGGAAGGTTTAACACGAAGGGCACAAAAATAGAATCCTTGGACTGAATCTCCTCAGTTGTGTACCATTTGATGTTCTGAAAAGCTAGATTTCACGTTCTAAGGTTTTGGCATTTTAGGAAATATCTGAAACTCTGCAACATTGTGCCCGCATTCTCATATCTGCAGTATTGGCTCCAGCTGAGGAGAAGCCAGCCAGATGCTGCTTCATAACACTTGCTGATTCACTCATGTACATTAAGCACCGTCCCCCCGAAGGCACCTATTTTTTAAATGTATATGTATTTCATGAAATGGTGCCATAGGGACAGGAACTTACCCTTCCATCCCCTCCTCAATCCTCCATGATGTTTTCCCCAATAATATTTCAGTGGCATTTCCATCAGCAATGGTCACAAATCCATCGTTCTGCTATTTAAGTGTATCATGACATTGTAGGTATAGACAATTGTAGAAAGCCTAGCATCCTCTTGACAAGACATACTTATCAGTGTTATTGAGAGTCCTCTTTTTTTTTTTTTTTTCTGGAGTAGAGAGCACCGCAATGTGGCTTTTCTTTCAGATAGAGACATCAATGGTTTCAACTCTTGGTAGGCAGAAAGGAAGAAATAAAAAGATCCATGCATATTTTAAAGATAAGAGAAAAATTTTAACTGAATGAATAAAATATGATTATTGTGTTTGGAGACAGTCTTTGTGTGAAAATTCGAATTTCTCTTTTTTTGACAACAGAGCAACTTGACCCAGAACTCCTAGTGACAGTGCTTTTGGATGAAAATCTTTGCAGGGCCTTTTAATTACGAATTGACAGGGTGATTAACTTATAATTCACGAAAATAAATGTGGAAAAGAGAAGTACAGGTCACTTTCTAGCTGTGTTAAACTATAGGGACAGCACTATTGGCAAGTGATTGCTTCCCTCTAACAGCTTTTCTAATTTTTCTTAATTGGATCTTTTGTTTTCTAATTGGATATGGGAAACCATCATATGGCTTTCAACTACTAGCTGTGGCATGGTGATCCCGTCATATGGCACACGCTAAGTAAAGTTAGACTCTGAACATATAAGATGAAATACACATCATCCGTTGCCAAGAAACTTTTTTGTGTCAGTAGGCAAGAGGGTCAATTTCTTCTTTACATCTTGGGGATGTAATGCCAGGCTAAAATGGCTTAAAGGAAGCAATCTGGCATTCTAGAAAGACAATTTCAGATTCCTGTTTCCATCCTATAGCCTACATTATAATTTCTTAATGTGTTTCTTCATCCTAGAATAGAAATACCTTCAAAGAATATATTTGATTCTTTAAAAAAAACTGTTAAAAATTAGTCACTTATGCAAAGAGGTGTGCACACATATTCTTTAGAAAACATGACTCTTGAACCCAGCCTGGTAGCCTAGTGGCGAAAGTCCTCACCTTGTATGTACCAGGATCCCATATGACCACCGGTTCATATCCCGGCTGCTCCACTTCCCTTCCAGCTCCCTGCTTGTGGCCTGAGAAAGCAGTAGAAGACAGCCCAAGGCCTTAGGACCCTGTACCCACATGGTAGACTTGGAAGAAGCTCTGGCTCCTGGCTTCAGATGGGCTCAGCTCTGGCCATTTGGGGAGAGAACCAATGGATGGAAGATCTTTCCCTCTCTTTCTCCTTTTCTCTGTAGATCTGACTTCCCAATTAAAATAAATAAATCTTAAAAGAAAAAATAAATCATGAATGTTTTCAAAGTATTTGCTATTAATTGTGAATTTAGACATTCCTTTCATAAGAAATAAGTTATCTCTCTGGCTTTCTTATTGTGCTACTTCTACTTGATCCCTATTATCTACAGGAGAAAGAATATTTGATCATAGCATTTGTTCTAACTCAGCATCTTCTCGTATGTATTCCTAAATTTCAGGCGTCTTCTAACTACCAACTTTTCACTTTCCTTTGAAAGTGTCTGATCTTTCACAATATGCATGCATGTTGACTTTCTTGTCCAGCTTCTGCTGTTTTCTTTGGTAAATCTTGTCCACTGGTCAAGATCACCTTGATAAGGTTGCTCCCCAGGGGAGCCTCTCTTCATTCATCCTGTTACAATTTATTTGATCTTTTATTGAACAGTGAACTTTGTTAATACCTCTGTAATAGTTTCTGCTTATCTGTTCATTAAAAATACATCTCTGTATATAGGTGATCAGTCCTGGAGTCACACAATTACCAAAATGGTCAAGGGTTTTGATTTTGTACCACACAGTAATTAATCCTCAGCTGATTGTCTTTCTTGTTGGCTCTGAAACTATCAAAGGGAGGATTCATATCACTAATGCGTAGAATGAAGTCAGGTTAAGAGTAGGTGTTTAAGAAATTCTTACTGTTACATTATGACTTCTGGATGGAGAATATTGATCAACTTATAAATCTAACTTTGTAGTGAGTCAAGCCAGTATATGTGACAATCTCAGCTTTAAAACTTGGAGCAATGACAGGATAATCACTTCTGCTTTTGGATGTTATACCATTTAATGTCCAGTTGGTGTTACTCTCCTTATGCTTTGAGTATGTGCAAGTCAGGCCGTATGATGGGCACTTTGGCTCAGCACCTTGCCATGGCCTTTCCCCAGAGAGGAAACACATTCTCTGATTAAATGCCCTTAGCAGGCAGGAACAAGCCACAGCTGGGGTTTGAATCAGGCTAAATCCCATCAGATTGGAAATGAAGAAGCTGATGCTTTTGAAGATTATAGATCTGGAAAGCAGCACAGGCAAGGGGCTGCAAGTCCCTGCTCAGAGCAGGTAGTGCCACGTCTCTCTGGCTTTCAGTGTTGCTTCTCTCTGATGCTTCCAGAATAACTTTAAAGATGGTTTTGTGGAGGGATAAGATTTTCATGCTAGATTTATAATATCTACTCTTCATCCCTTCAAAAAGAGAAGTAATTAAAATCTTGAGGGAAGACCTAATTGAGAATGTCATGGAAATGAGGAGAACTTGAAACAGAATGCCAGAAACTCTTGTTTCATGTCGCTATGTTTTTCTGAAAGGTCTAATTACAATTTTACAAATAAGAATAGCTTAAAGCTAGCAGTATTTAAAGCTCACCGTTACTGGTAACTTTTGATCATGGGGTTCTGTCTCATGTGACTTTTCTTGGCTTTGTGGTATGTGTATACATCCCACTTGATGAAACCACACTGCAGCATTTATTGTGGTTGCTTCTCTGTTGTTAGCCACAAACCCATTTATTGGTATCCTAGCTAAAGCGAAGACATTGAAGAGGGGAATAGGATCCCTCTTCTTCCACAGGCAGCTCTGTGGTGGCAGAGCTGTGTGCCCATCGGGGGAGCTCACTGACAGGCTCTTGCCTCTCCTGGACATCCCCCTCTATGCACATTGTCTGTGCTCCTCAGCCTATTATTGCTCTGAGTGTTTGCTCTTTGATCCATGTTTCACATGTTTTATTTACATGCTTTATTTTTCACTTTATGAGCAAATTGATAGCTAGACTTACTCCTTATCACAGTGGATTAGTTTTATTTATTCCCTTTAAATTTCATTTAAAAAGCTGTCAAACGTTAAGTCTACATTTTTATAAGCAGAATGTGTTCACAAGACTGGGTCTTAGCTACGTTCAGTTAGAGCATACTTTTCAACAGTTGCCCCTTTGTTTATCCATGATAACTGAAACTAACCATCAAATGGATAAAGCCATCCAGGTCTAGTCAACTAATTCCTAGGGCATCTGAAAGAAAGAAAACCTTTTTAAAAAAGTTCTTTCCAGGGCCTGGCACGATAGCGTAGTGGTTAAAATCCTCACCTTGCATGCATTGACATCCCATATGGGCGCCGGTTCTAATCCTGGCGGCCCCGCTTTCCATCCAGGTCTCTACTTGTGGCCCAGGAAAGCAGTCAAGGACCCTGCACCCGCGCAGGAGACCTGGAAGAAGTTCCTGGCTCCTGGCTTCGGATTGGCTCAGCTCCAGCTGTTGCGGTCACTTGGGGAAGTGAATCACTGGATGGAAGATCTTCCTCTCTGTCTCATCTCCTCTCTATATATCTGCCTTTCCAATAAAAATAAATAAATCTTTAATAATAATAATAATAATAAGTTCCTTCTAGATGGATTTCATGGAACCACCAATAAAGCATCCTCAGAAGCATACTAAAAATTCTACATAAATGACATAACAGGAAAACTGAAAATATACAGTTTGATGAAGATTCAAAATGGACACTGGTATTAAAAACAAGCACTCATGCAATTTGTATGTAATATGAAAATCAAAATTATAGGACATGAATTTTATTCCCAACTTCTAAGGCAGCATGTTGAGGCAAGTGTCTAATCTAGCTGTTAAGATGCCTATTCTCGCATCAGAGTACCTGGGTTGGGTCCCCAGCTCCTGGTTTCAGCCCCAGCCCTGTCCTGACCACTGCAAGTGGTCTGGGTTTCATTCTCTCTCTCTCTCTCACAAATAAAGAAAAATGTGAAAAGTTAGGCATTTAAACAAAGAAAGTATGTTTATGGGACCACAAATAATATTTATAAAAATTCCAGTAGTAAGTGCTTTGAACTGTCATTTTGCTTCAGAAAAACAACATTTCAAATGTTGTGCTTATAAATTTCCCCATGTAGCATCGAGGATAGCTGGATTGTATTTATATGTGCCCGAACATTCTTGGGATATGAAATATATTTGTTTTGGTTGAGAACCTGATTTCTTCATTCTGTTTTAAAACAACCAGCTTCGGCTTCCTAACTTTTTCGCTTCCACCTGCACAGACCTAGGAATATGGAGATAACTCAGAAACAGCACAGCTTCTGCAACAGCACAGCTGTGTGTCCACAGCCACACCCTGGAACACACCCTCTACGTCACTCCCCCGCCTGCACACACCCAGTCAACCCTTCTGAGGCTCAGAGAGATCGCTGAAAGTGTGTTCCGGACGCGTGCATACTCTATGTGTTGTTCAATAGTGTGATGAGCTCCTTAAGTGCTAGCAGGAGCAGTGTTGAAGGGGTGAATGCAGAACATATATAGGCAAACATTGTCAATTATTTTATTCACATGTTTTGAACTTAAGCACAAAATCATGATTAAGTTTTCACAAAGTGAGGCATCTGTCACTTGAAAGGAAAAAATATTTCAGAGATATGTTTACAGAAAAGTAAAAATATTAGGCATCAAGACAGATGTGAACATACTCCGGAGCTTGTCATGTCTGTCAGTCTTCTCCTGAGCCGAAGATCTTACTGTACTCACTCAGCATGAGCTCAGCTATCTGGTTTTGGTACACCATGTGCACTGCCATGTTCCCACTGTCATTTTCAGCTCTCAGAAGGGTGGGTCCAAACACAATCCCCAAGCTTTGTGTGGACATGAGGTTCTTGGAAGCTTTGGCCACTATCCTGTGAAAAGAGACAGTGAAAAATAATGTAATTGGTGTTTGAAGTGAAATTGTGGCTATGCCAAAATTATAAAACTTTTCTGGCTTCAGAGAAATAACTATCTGATAAAACTAATCTTTGTGGGTCTGGCGCAGTCCTCACCTTGCATGCATTGGGATCCCGTATGGCTACTAGTTCATATTCCAGCTGCTTCACTTCTATCTCAGCTCCCTGATTATGGCCTGGGAAAGCAGTGAAAGACAACCCAAGGCCTTGGGACCCTATAACCACCTGGGAGACCTGGAAGAGGCCTCTGGCTCCTGGCTTTGGATTGGCTCAGCTCTGGTCATTGAGGCCACTTGGGGAGTGAATCAAAGGATGGAAGATCTTCTCTGTCTCCCCCTCTCTCTGTATATCTGACTTTCCAATAAAAATAAATAAATCTTAAGCTAAATAAATCAAGATAAATAAATCTTGAGATAAATAAAAGCAATCAATAAATGTATGTATATATATATATATGTATATATCCAAACAAAATAAATAGTACATTGTATATATAGTTAATATGGAAGGTAGACATATGAACTGCTGAAACACTAGGTTTTTTTAGTGATTAATGTTAATGTTCTTGGCAAATGCTAACTGGAATATGTTTTTTTGTGAGGAGGTAGTTCTAAGACATTTAGGTATATGGCAAAATACTAATGTCTTCATTCATTTGGGCAGCCAATTTAGCTCACGCCTCAATAAAATACAGAATCCTGTAGCATTCACACAGGAAAGAGTCCTATTGGAATAAAGAAATGCTTGCTTGAGTGAGGACAGTATGGAGAGCTGGAATAGAAATGAACTTTTACGATGTGATTCTATCAACAGTAATGCTTTTTCTCCTTTAGCAATGAACCCCTAAAGAAAGAAAATCAAATTCATCTTCAAAATTTGGACTTAAAAAATAAGCTTGTTCTTACAATGAAGTGTATTTGGTTTAAAATTTAGTAGAAGGAGGTTTTATTGGTATGAAGAAAATAAGTTAGGGACCTGTGCTGTGGAGTAGTAGGTTAAATCCCATATGGGCTCCTGTTCCAGTCTCAGATGCTCCACTTCTCAACCAACTCCCTGCTGATGTGCCTGAGAAAGCAGAGAAAGATGGTCCACGTTTTGGACCATTGTACCCTCACAGAAAACATGAAAGAATCTCCAGGACCCTCGCTTTGGACCAGCCTAGCTCTGGCTGTTGAGGTCATCTGGAGTGTGAACTGGCAGGTGGAAGATTTTTCTCTTTCTCTCCGTGAACCTGACTTTTAAACAAAAATAAGAAAATCTCCAAGGAAAAAAGAAGAAAAAATAAAAGAAAGAAAGAAAGGATAGCATATAGAACAGCAGGGTGTAACAATCATTCCACTAAATATCCACTAAACATTCCACCAAACATCCAGGGAACTCTGTACAGAGAATATAACAAGACCAGCCAATATTTTATTATGAGACCTTTAATTCTGTGGCCTCCAGCCTCAGCCTGGGACATGGATGAGTTGGTTAGGTGTTAGTAACTCTGGCCTGCTTGTGTCTACACAGCAGGGGCAAGAAAACTCGGTTCACCTCTGTGTCTTCACAAAAGCCCATTGCTGAAACAGACTGGGGAGGACCAAAGCCGTATATGTGCTGGCTAGCACCTGCCTATAGCACTTGTATTGTCTCATTTGGTCATCAATGCCATGAAATAGCTTTTATTATGAAGCCTGTTTTGCTGCATAATGAAGTGGCTGATGCTGCAAAAAGCTGAGGCTCAAACTCAGGTTGGCTGGTTTCTCTACTATGGAAAAGTCATTTCGAGAGTAACTTTTGTGACTCCTGGGCTAACTACAGTGGCTTTTCATTCTAGGTTTAAGGTTCATTATAAGAGAATCTGAATTTGCCTTCCTCACTGTAAATCTATAATTGACAACCTGGGTTATAGTATATTGATCCTGGACAAAGCAATTGCAGAATTTGGACGAATATTCACGATATTCTGCATCCCATTTCTCCTTTTGCTTAAATGGATGACATGGCTATGTTTCCAGAAGGGTGTCTAGTATTTTAGAGTACCAGAGAGTTACCTGAAATTTCAAATTTAGAGATTTCCTCAGAATATAAGAAGCCATGTCACTTTGCTACTTCATTTACTAAAAGCCTGCACAATGATTTACGTGTCCATCCACTTGAAGGAGGGCAGATGGAATAGATTTTGGCTTTCCTTTCCAAATTCACCTTAGTTTAAAACCTCTCTTGAGGTTTTCCAAGAAATACATACTACAAAAACCATTAGTAGGATTCTGTATTAAGGAAAGGAAATTTTCTTCTCTTTTAGGTTTAAATT